GAGTCCGCCACATATTTGTTCCTCCTTCAGACCTCCCCCTTCCCACCTGGCCTACACAGGGATTCCCAGAAGCCTTGGCTCATCTCTCAGCTTTCAGGGGATGTGTGTGAATGCCACCTCCAGCTTCCCAGACAGACAGAAATGAGTCCCAGATTGAGTCAGAGAGAAAACTGGGCTACGTGTGGGTGTAGTGGAGTCCTGGTCCCCAGCTCACTACTGGACAAAGATGTGTGGTGCTCCTCCCAGGAGAGTGGGGGAAGGACATGCAAGCAGGGTGTGAGGGAGCCTCCTCAGGGAACCCTCCACAAAACCCTCAAAGGCTTAAGCACCAAATGCAGATTCCAGCCCCCTCCCTGCCCAGCAGAGTGTTGCAAGAATAAATAGAATGAGTGGCAATGTTCTTAGTGGAATGATGATGTGACTAGACTTCCTAGAGATAACTGAAAATGAGGAGAGTTTTAATGAGAGAGCCAAGACTATTTGTGGATGCGGAGGTGTGGGGACAAGAACATGCATTTGCTCCATTATCCACAAACTTTGAAGAAATATCGATGGAGTGGAATGGAGAACAGGATTCAAACTTTGCTGTGTGGGTGTTTGGGGGCTGGGGTGGGAGGTTGGGAGGGGAGGATGGCATGATCTTAGCCAGGACATTCCATTGCAATAGAAATAATCAAATTAGCTCAATAAAGAGACATTTATTCTTGGGAATTCCATGTACTCCAACAGCAAACAGAATAAATATGATTGCCCAGGGGTCTTAGGAACAGGAAGTGAAAGACCTTTACTCCAGTGAGCCAACCTTACAGTGACTCACCTCTCAGTCCATCGGTGGATACAGTATCTCAAATTAGCAACTAAATTAAGAGAACAGTGGTCCATGGTAATCTGTGTTACAAAATGTCAGAGTTGAATGTTAAATCTAAGTGATGGAAAGGAATCAGGTGCAGAGAGCCGGGGAAGAATGTTCTTGGCAGAGGCAGGAGAAAAACAGAGAGAAAGAGCCCAGGATGTTAAGGATTAGAGAGCAAGCATGTCTTGAACAGTGGGATTGTGGTCTAAGAAGCCAGTGGCCTGAGTACGCAAGACTGTAGCTGCACCTCATACCTGTAATTTAGAAAAAGCCCCGTGATACACGTCATGGAATGATGGGTCATTCTCTAAAAACTGGTTTCAACCCCTCCTGACTCTTTCCCCAGCATCTGCAGGGTTGATTTCTGAATCTCAGTCTCCATTTGTCTGTAAACAAGGAGGAAGCTAGAGGAGATGAGGTCGGGTGCTTTCCAGTACCAAACACAATAAATCTGCTGTGGAGGAGGGGAGCCACACAGGCTGGGGTTCCAGAGCTTCCTTCATAACTTCTTTCTCTCTCCAGTGTCCTCTTTGGACTTGACAAGGTCAGTCTGTTTCTGGGAGAAGGGTGCGTGTCGGGTTGGCTTGTCTGCCCTGGGTGTGCTCTCAGCCTTCCCTCTTTTCAGTATATATGTGTGATGTGCATGCATGCATGTATGCATGCTTGTAGGTGTGTGGGTGCACGTGCAGAACTCAGAACCCCAGAACCCTTGTAAAAAGTTGGTCATAGTGACACATGCCTGTAATCACAACACTGGAGAGGTAGAGACAGGAGGATCCCTGGGGCTTATGGGCCAGCCAATCTTGCCAAATGGGTGAGCTTTCAGTTTAGTAAAAGGTCTTGTCTCAAAAGACAAAACAAGAGCTGGGAGTGGTGGTGCACTCCTTTAATCCTAGCACTCAGGAGGCAGAGGCAGACAGATCTCTCTGAGATAGAGGCCAGCCTTGTCTCTACAGTGAGTTCTAAGCCAGCTGGGGCTACAGGGAGACTCTGTCTCAAAAAGACCAAAATAAAAATATAAATAAGTAAATAAATAAATATAAATAAATAAGGTGGCGAGCCACAAAGGAGGACACCCAGTGTTGAGCTTTGAGCTCCATATGCACATACATACATTTGCTTGTGTATACACACACACGCACGCACACACACCACACACACACGCGTGCACACACACACATACACACACAATCAAACAAAGAGACCCAAGAAACATGTCCTCACTTTCGTTTCTTCTTAGATGTTTGTTTTGTTCTGATTTGATTTGAAGATTCCAGTGTGTGGGAACAGTCTCACTGCAAAGGGGAAATGAGTAACACTTGGTCAGTTTGTTTCCTGCATAAACACGCTCACGCACAGTGTGGAGTACTTGCTATGGGCTAGGTGACAGGGAGGCAAAGAGGAGCAATGGTAAAAGACCCAGCCACCTTCCTCTCCTGCCCACAAGTTCACAGCAAAGCAGGGGAGACATACAAAAAACAGATACAGTACTGCCCTTCAGATGAGTCATAATTGATACTCGTGCGCGCACGCACACACACACAGCTCCTTCTGAGTAGCATTGATTCTAATTGTTTTTGGATCTGGTCTATTTCCAGGATACCCCCACCACCTCATTTTTTGGTATACCCATATATGTTTATTTACGGAACTGCAATTCCTATAACATGAAAATAACCACTCCAAAGTGAGCGATTTGAAGGTATTTAGTATGTTCACAATATTATGCATCCACAGCCACCGTCTGGTTCTGAAGCATCTTCATGACCCCAACATAACCTATTAAGCACTTAATAACGTATTAAGCAGTTACTCCCATGTTTCCCTCTTTCAGCCCCTGGCAGACGCCCATCTGCTGTCTCCTTGGGTTCATCTCTTCAAAATATTTCATAGAGTCGCACAACACGCGACCTTCTGCGCCTGGCTTCTTTCACCTTGCACAGTGTTTTGGGGTTTCATGGTCGCATGTCCATCCTTCCATCAAATGGATATGGCTCTTTATTCATCTGTTGATAGACATCTGGGTTCTTTCCACCTTCTGGCTATTTTAGTGTTGCTATGAAAAGTGCAGGTGTCCTTATAGCAATCCATGGAATTCTTCTTTTCATATCTGTTTTTGTTCCTTTGGGTATATACCCAGGAATGGATTTGCTGGGCTACACAGTAATTTCATGTTTAACTTTGCAAAAGAATGACAAACTGGGCTCCCTTTTGGGAGGCCCATGAGACCTTGAGTTAGATGATCCTTCCTGACTCCCTGAAGGCCTTCCAAGAACTGAACCCTGGGTTTCAACTGCCCCACAAAGCACTGAATGCCTCAGTCAAGCAGGCTAAGGTCAGGGGCACAGTTTCCACATAGAGTAACCTGGACTGTGAAGAACGAAGGCCGTTGCCCGTGCTTTGCCATCTAAGGCTGCCCTTCCTTAACCCCATTGTTGGTCTCCCCATCTTTTTAAAAAATATTTTATTATTTATTTTTATTTTATGTGTATGCATATATTGCCTACATGTAGGTAAGTGCACCCATGTCATGCAATGCCTGCAGAGGTCAGAAGAGGCTGTTGGATCCCCTGGGACTGGAGTTACAGACAGTTGTTAGCTGCCATGTGGGTGCTGGGATTCGAACCCAGGTCTTCTGCAAGAACAGCCAGTGTTCTTAACTGCTGAGCCATCTCTCCAGCCCCATAACTCACTTGTAACAAGGCCTAGAACGAAGCCCTGGGTCTGACCCCCAACACTGCATAAAGTAAGCACGGTGCTATAGTCTGTTAAGCCTCAACACTGCCTGCAATCCCAGCACTCAGGCGGTAGAGACTGTAGGCTAAGAAGTTCAAGGTCACCCTCTCCTTCTTAGTGAGCTGGAGGCCCAGATGGACTCATCATCTCAAAACAACATAAACAAAACAAGGACTAGTGAAAGTGCATGGGATTAACTAGAATCAGGTGATTTCTTATGTCTGGCCCCTGCACCATCTGATTTCTGTGCACCTGGAGGGTAAATGGTTTGACCCTGCCCGGAGCCTCAGTTTCCTCCTCTCTAAAACAGGACTAGTAACCTTCAGCCCACAGACAACCACACGTTTCCCATGCATTTTCTGCTTGGTTTTCCCAGATTTTCAACAAATGCTGTTGAACCTGGAAGGTGAGTAGCTTATCTGAGGCAGAACACTCCCCTCTCCCAACTTCGCAGTCTGCTCTGAGCCCCTCTCCCCAGGTTGAACGGTGGGGTTAGAACGGTGGCACACTGTTGGCCAGGGCTTACACTTGGCTGTTGGAATGAAGCTTGCTATGGTAACCAGGCCTGGTGGCTGGAATCCAGGGCCCCAGAGAAAAATGCAAAGCCTGTGCCCTGGGAGAGAAGAGGAGCTAGGAGGGGCTTATCAACTTAAAGGTTACTTACTTCAGTTCTCCTCCGAAAGGGGAGTGGGTAAACTGAGGCTCGGGGCTTAACACTCCTACTTCAGGAAGAGCAGAAAGAAAGAGGCCCTACCATACCTTCCAGTCCTCCCCTGGTCTCGGCTCTCTACTCGTGTTCAGGCCAGCCGAGGAGCTTGGGACCAGGCTCAGGCTGGCCTTCTGTCTGGGGTGCGCACACAGGGGCTGCTGGTAGGTCTCAGCGTCTCTGACCTAGGCTGGGCAAGGACTCGGGCCACTAGGTGGGGGGTGGAAAGTGTCCGACTGGTCGTCCACCAGCTCAGCTCTTGGCTGGGCGTTTCATCCCCGCAGTTTAAGCAACTGACAAATCCAAAACTCCACTCCTAAGCTCATGCCAGCCGCCCCCTCCCTGGGCCCTCCATCCCTTGCTCCCTTCCGGGCGCCCCTTTCGCACACCCCTGTCTGCTAAGCATTCACCTCCTCCTAGGTGACCCCAGCCCGGCGCGGGGCAGTAGTTGGCCGGGGCGGGGCTGCCCACCGCCGCAAGGGAGGGGACAGCGAGCCAACCTCAGTCGGTGAGCCCCCCAACCCTTCGCTTGGGGGTACCACCTCCGGCCTCACGCAGGCGCCGCCCGCCTCCCCCGCCCTCCGGGGGTGTGTCCCCGAGATGAGGAGCGCTCGAGGCCAAGGAGGTCCCCAAGGTCCCCGGCCGGGCCCCCTCCCGAGCCAGCCGCGAATGGTAGGCTCCACTAGGAGGGCGCCTGGCCCGGCAGCGCGCGGTGTCCTCTGCGCTCTGCTCGCCCGCCCGCCGGGGTCTCGGCGATCGCTGCTCCTCCTCCCGTCCTCCTCCTCCCCTCGTCCTCCTCCTCCGGTCCTCCTCCTCTTTCTCCTCCTCCTCCTCCCCCCTCCGCCTCGCCACCGCCGCGGCTCGGGCTGGAGGCGCCGCTGTCATTCCTGCGCCGGAGGAGCCGGTGCCTGGGGGTCGGGGCGCGGGCCGGCAGGGGCTGCGGGGTACCCAACAGGTAGAGCCGGGGACGTGGCCGGCCGCGCGCCCCCCGCGTGCATCATGCAGCCCTTTGTCACCTCTCTCGCCCCCAGGCCAAAATCCTGAGCATGATGGAAGACAATAAGCAGCTCGCGCTCCGCATCGATGGGGCGGTCCAGTCGGCCAGCCAGGAGGTGACCAACCTGCGAGCCGAACTCACGGCCACCAACCGGAGACTAGCGGAACTGAGCGGCGGAGGCGGCGGCCCGGGCTCAGGCCCGGGAGCTGCGACCAGCGCCTCGGTGGCGGCGGCGGCGGCGGTGGACTCGGCGGCGGCGACTATGGAGAACCATCCACACGGCGCGCAAGGTAGGGATGCCTGGGGCGGGGACTCGGTGAGCACACACCGGCCCCGGGGGTGGCCCGGCTCACGGTGCCCCCCATGCCCGCCACGAGATCGCCCTCTTTGCATTGTGGCTTGTAACCCTTTCCTCCCAACCGTTGTCCACCCGCGGCTCCCCGGCTTGGGAGTTGCAAGGCGGCTGTCATTGAATGCCAACCCGGGTGCAGTGTGCACGGGGTGGCAGGGTCACACCAGCCCCTGGCCAGCTGGAGGTAGGCGCCACTGGCCGGTCTCTTCCGGCCGCAGAAAGTACCCTTTGGATGGCACACAGCCCCAGTTCAGTGGCAAACTTTTCATGTCCTTACCCCTATAGGTACCCCCTTCCTCCCAGTTCCAAAGGCTTCAGTCTTTGGGATGATCCCCCCCCTCCCCAGGCGGATTGGGGGACGCTCTGGGCTCTGTTGCCTTGGGGAGTGGACTGGTGTACAGTTTTCTCCTAGGAAGCCAAACCCCTTGGCTGGATTGCATCTGGAGTTTATTTTCTCCCGGCTTGAGATGGTGTCGGCAGTGGTATGCATCCCTGCTGGCTGGATGCACTGGTGTGCAGGGAGTTTAAATTTTCAGCAACTATATACACGGAACAGCACTTTTCCAGGGGAAAATCATAAACCCCAAAGGTTGAATGATGGGCGCCTGGAGAAATGAAGGCTTGGAGGGTAGGTTGCTAGGTGCTCCTGTTTGAAGGACTCTGCAGTTTAGAGGAAGGGAGAAGACAGCTGGCCGGTGCTGGCATTGAGAGATGATGCTCCGGACCCCTGCAAGGGTTAAAGGTGTGGGATGAGGCTGTTCTGCCTGTGTACTGTGTGATTTCTCTGAGTTGGAAAGCAAGAGGAGAATCAAGCTTTTCAGAATTCTTTCCCCCAAATCACCCTTTAAGAATCAGTATCGATAGTTGTTCATACCACTTGAACTGTAAACTAAACTGCTGGAATCCAGAACTGGACAGGAGAACAAAAACCCTCCAGGCCTGGAGGGCCACTTGCATAAATACGTCACTTGAAGTGTAAGGTACCAGTTGCTCAGAGACTCAGAACCATCTCTTGTTATTTCAACAGCTTCTTCTGGATGTTGAGAGAGAGTGTTTCTTTATAGGGATGCCTTCACTTGCTTCATTGGTCTGTTTTCCCTCACCTTCCTGGGAAGGTGTGCCTTTGCAATGTGAGATGCGTAGCTTTGAGATTGGCAGTTTTTTGTGGTATTCTGAGTCAGACCCTAACTTGGTACTTCAGGAGCCCATTAGAAGTCTTTAGGAATTGCGAACGTAATTTGGCCATGACGTAATGGTGGGAAGATGCCGTGGTCCTGGTGTTTGCTACACGGTTTTCAAGGTTGATGTCTGGTTTTTCTTGTCATCTAATCCTGGTTATGTCATCATGTGTGGAAGAAAGATCGCCAGTGTAATCTGGGATGGGAAAGGAAAGCGCAGATTGCAAGATAATGCTTTAATTTTTGTAAGCAGCAAGGCTTGTAACATTCAAGAACTAACTAAGAACTGGCATTTTGCTGAAAGCAAAAGCCATTAAGAGGGACACTGAACGATGCTGGGGTATTCCTTCTGGCGGCTCTGTCCCCAGCCAATGAAAAGTTAAGTGGTGTTTTAGCCAAATGCCAGCTGCGCTGCAGACTAGGCATGCTAAGGAAGCCGGACGCCGTGTTGGTGCACACACACTCTACTTGGAAACTGAGAACTTGGCCGCACGATGGTTAAATGGATGCAGAGGTACAGCAGGAAACTGTGTCCTTGTCCCTTTTTTTTCCTCTCTCCTACAAAGATGCACAAGCCTGTGAACATGGGAATGGCTTTGGGATCATTTGGTGTCTTTAAGAATACATGAAGCCAGCAACTGTCTTGTGCTCCTGGGAGCCTGCACACTTGCCCTCTGCCCAAGTCAGCGGCTGCCTGTGGGTGTTAGGAAGACAGAAGAGGGTCTTGACTGTTTCTGTTTGTGCTGCTGAGAGTTGACGGAACCATTACCACTGGCATTAGTGATTTTATAATCAGAAAACATGTTAATGATCTTTTACTCAACTGTGGGTCACATGTCCGTTTAAGTTAGTGTGAATGAATGTGGTGGTTGGAAAGAGAATGAGATGTCATATAAACCCACTGGGATGTTTACTGATCTGGAGCAACAGTACCTCAGTTCAGGACTTTTAAAATATCATTTAGTCTTTGTGAAGTTTTAGTTATACTTGGTTTTAGTTTTTCTTGTAGACTCTAACACTATTTTTGTTAAAAACAAAAACAAAAACCCTCAGCAGAGCTGGTCTGTTCATTTCTTTGCTGGGGTTTTTGTGATTTTCCTGAACAACAGTGTTGAATTGTTGCAAGTTAATTTTCAAGTACGGCTGGTTGCCTTCCCCCGGCTTCTTCCTGGCATGCCTTCAAGGAGGCACAAGGGAGCTAGGCTCCTTGTGGCCTTCTGACTGATCTTCCAGGTCACTTTGTGTGTCCATCTTGTTGTGTGCTGCGACTCCGTGGGCCCAACCCTGGCAGTACCTAGTGCAACTCAGTTGTCCCTTCTCAAATCCAGGTTCTGAAAAAAATGAGACCTTTCAAAACTCAACCCTGTAAATCGTCTCAACGAAAGGGCTTTATGCACATACTGAGAACCTACGAATATGTCTTTAGTAATAGTGGTACAAATGGTGACAGGAAAATGTCACCTTTTGCTCCTCACCTCCCCCAGGAAATGGTTGGATCCATTTTCAATTATTTCTAAAAATATTTTTATTGAGCTTTCGTGCATTGCATATAATAGATCTTAATCAAATTTAGACCCCCTCCCCCCTGTGCCCTCCCACAGCTCCCCCCACTAGATTTTCAATTATTTTTTGCATTTCTTTTAGGAAATACACTTAAGCAAGTGCATCCATCCATCGCTGGGGACATTTTATAGTATGGCTGACCACTAGGTTGATGCCTACTGATGAAGGAAACTTGGGTTTTCCTAGAGGGTTAATGCAGTGTGTTATTTAAACAAAATATGAACTCGCTGGGTACCCTGTGTGAGCGGGCATGGTTGCTATGTAACAGAATCTAGAAAGTGAACTGCTGAAAATCTGGGCTTTCGGCAGTTCGCAGGATCTTCTTTCGGAATCTGTGTTGAAAGAGCTCTTGGCAGCGGGCCCATCGCCTCTCTCCTGTTGCAAGTGAGTTGGATAATCCTAACGAGGCTTGAGAGCCAGTGGTGCTGAGGGCATCCATGTGGGGTGGTGCATTTCACAGCTCCAGAGGCCACCTCGTGGGTTGATGGGGTCACAACTGCCTTTGACAGGTGGACAGAAGGAGACTTGGTTTTTTAAAAAAAATCATAAATACAGAGCTGAGCATTTGTTCCAGTTCGTCTTGTGAGTAGCCAGGGAAGGGGTTTGTTTAAAGTACGTTTCTAAGCTGTTTTCCTCGATGTAACATCTCTGAGAAAGTGTGTTTAAAATGCTTGCTGTTCTTTGAGGGGGAAATGTAGCAGTTTGTTTCTCTGAAAATGTTTAGCTGATGAATGACTAATATTAGATTCAATTGGCTGCTTTGCTGTGCATAGAATAAAACAATTAAGAACCATTATACTCAATTCAAATAGGTGTTAATGGTATAGAACATAAGACATGTATGTGTAGTACGAATAGATGCTTACTGCCTTTAGCTTATTGTTTATTTGGGGGGAGGGGGTTGTGTGTGTGCCTGGGAGGCCTGAGGCCCACTTCAGCAGTCCTCTCTCATTCCCCACCTTCCTTTTTGAGACAAGATCTCTCACTGAACCTGGGACTCACTTATTGTTTAGACTAACTGGCCAATGACCCCCAGGGATCCTCCTGTCCCTGCCTCCCTGGTGCTGAGACTATAGGCATGTGCTGCTGAGCCCAGCTTCTTAAATGGGTGCTGAGGGTCTGAACTCAGGAGGTCCTTATGCTTGTGCAGTATGTGATTTACTGACTGAGCCATCTCCCCAGCCCCTGCTGTTTTTTTTAATATTCTATTTATTATTTTAATTTCTTATGTGTATGAGTGTATGTGCATGTATGTGTGTGCATCATGTCGTGCAGTGCCCACGGAGGTAAGAAGAGGGCGTCTGATCCCCTGGAACTGGAGTTGTGGATGGTTGTTAGCTGCCACATGTGTGTTGGGAACCAATCCTGGGTCCTCTGCAAGAGCAGCCAGTGCTCTTAACCGTCAAGCCATCACCCCATGCTGTATATTTTTTAAGGGAATCTTTGGAGTTGCATGCCTTGGCAATTGGGGGTGCTGAGAGCACCTTTCTTTGCTGCGGAGGACTCCCTGACTGCTGCGTTTGTTAAAATGGGAGATAGGAAGGGCCCATCTCTAGCTCTGTACACTTCCATAACATGCAAGTGTTACAGTAGGTAGTTACTTAAGGCCTGGCTGCCCCTCTCAACCATCAACTACCATACTGGAGACTCTTGGGCAAAGTACATATTACCTTTGGAGTGAACTGAATGTGTGAGAATCCACAGAGACGCTAAACACTGTTGCTTTGCAAAATAACTTCTGTCTCTCGGCATCCCCTTCCCCATTCATTCTGCCTCTGCACTCCTTTTCCTGGGGAGACTTTTATCTGCTTTGAAGGGAAATTTCCAAGTGGTGGAGAGGGTGGAACCACATGTGGCAGCCGGACCAGGGCCCTTTGGAGCTCCAGAACTCTCCAAGTCACACATACTATGGTTTTAGCACCAGAGCAATGGGCTGAACGGTGTGCCTTTGCCTAGCCGGGCAGGCGGGCATGAACGGGGGCTTCGGAGTTCTTCCTGAAAATTACTGCACGGAGTCACAAAGGGATTGCTTACACGTGAGGATGGCGTGGTTGAAATTAGTTATTGATTGCCTATCATTTCCTGTCTTTTCCATTGTCTTTGAAAATGTCTTGGGAGGATCCCGGGAGTCAAGTTCCTGATTCTGGTTTGTTTTACACTGCCAGGATTTGTTTCCTGGTTTTCTGTGGTTTTCCAA